TCGCGCCACCTAACCATTCGCCAAATGTTTTTAATACCAGCGGTAACCGGCCAAGCGCCGGGCAAAAAACAATCTTCAAATAAAAGAACGTCACCGGAGGAGTTAAAGGAGAGTGACAGGGAGTATGAGAAGAAGAGGAAGAGAACGTTTCAGCCAGCTTGATCGATGGAGTTGGCTGCAGTGACGCATCCTAAAACCCTTTTATAATCTATCGATTAGATTTATGATTCGAAAATTATAAAAGTAGGGTAGACATGTGGAGTTTATCCGGCTGAACAAAACGTGCATTCACATTTAACAGGTTTGTTTTCCACAGACCTTATTTCCAGCTATTTTCCAAAACCCTTATCGAGGGAACCAGCAGCTTACTTCCTGGTTTTAGGACGCGTCACTGGCTGCACCTCTCAATATGATGCCAATATAAACAAGGTCTTCTGTCGGCTCTGTACATCAATGCCGACCTATGCTGATAAGTAAGTGAAGAGTAGACAATATAAAGGTATTGGCGAAATGTCCCAGCAGTTTAGGATAATGAAGGTTCAGGTTCTAATCAAATCAATTACATAGCCTGCAGGAAGACAGAAAGTGCATTATACAAATAATAATAACAGCAGACATTTTTTAACAATGACCACAATTAATAAACCAAATATGAACAATTGAGGAAAATGAGGAAGAACTGATGATTAAAATGTTAATTTTCTTCATTATTAGTCGATTATTAGTCGATTTTTTGGACGAATGCTCCGGGCCAGTGGTTACAATGGTGGGGCCAGTGATAATACAAGTCCACCGGCCCGGAGGTAGACATTATTTACCCTTAATGTCTACCACTAGTAAATTGTCTTCCCCCCCCCCCCCCCCCCCCCCCTCCGCTGCATCCAATGCAATTTGGATTCAGGGCTAATCACTCAACAGAAACAGCGACATGCTTCTTCGTGGAGAAAGTTAAGGCATCAATGGACAGGGGTGGGGGCCGTGTTCCTTGATTTACGGAAAGCTTTTGACACTGTTAATCATAACATCTTATTGCAAAAAATGCTCAACTTACATTTTTCTATAGAATTCACCAACCTCTTTAATTCGTATCTTTCATCCCGCTCCCAATGTGTTCAAATTGATAACCATAAGTCTAGTGCGTTATGTTTGTCAACTGGAGTACTGCAGGGCTCTGTATTGGGCCCAATCCTGTTTAGCATGTACATACATGATCTGCCTTCTGTGTGTGGAGAATGTGATGTATTAATGTATGCTGATGATACAGTTGTTTTTACTCAGGGCAAAACCGCAGAAGAGGCTTCTACCAAGGTCACTGATGTGTTGGAGAATATTACATCTTGGCTTAACAATAATTGTTTGCAACCAAATATCTCAAATACAGTATGTATGTTCTTCTCCAAGGGCCACAGCATGATAACAGAACAAGATGTTTTCTTTTCTGGAAGGAGACTTCAGGTTGTCTCGGAGTACAAGTACTTAGGAGTACATATTGACACAAACCTCAATTTCAAAACCCATATCAAAAAGGTCTGCAATAAAGTAAAGTTCAATCTGTCAAATTACAGATACATTAGAAACTTCCAATCGACTGCAGCAGCTAAGCTATACCTTCACTCAATGGTCCTCTCCCACATCAACTACTGTCTGATAAGCTGGTCTAGTGCACACTCTACAGCTCTAAAACCACTGGAATCACTGTATAAACAAGTACTCAAAACACTAGACAAAAAGCCATTCCGGTATCATCATTGTAACATTGTTAAAAAGTATAATCTGTTCAGCTGGGAAAATCTCATAGTTTACAAAAACATCTGCTTAGTTTATAAAATTACTCGTGGGTTGGCTCCTCCCCCTCTGGCTGGCTTCATCAGCCTAAAATCCACCTCAACCAGGGTTACTAGAGGTGCGTGCGGCTCGGGGAGACGGCACCATCCCATTTAGGAAAAGCGCATTCAGCCAGGCTGTCTTTTCATTCCACGCATCCCATCAATGGAATTCAATACTGTGAGGGAATATTTCTGTCTTTACTCCTAGATATTTAACCTTTTCTGTGTGTTGACGTTTACCACCAACCCTGGCTCTGTTATCTCTCTTAAGGAATGGGAGGCTCCAGCTATCTTGATAAACCAGTTCAACTCTCGGTCACAAAATGGTTTACGGCTGTGGGAACGCTGGCTTCGAGGCCATTAAGGGTCAGACGCAAGTGATTCAGGGTGCCCAGCTGTTTAGTCTATCTCCCCAAATATGTTGTTTACTCTCTCTGAACTAGTTAAAAGGTCTATCGAGAGAGAGGCGCGGCAGAATTGATGTGGCAACCCACCCGGGCAGTCAGAACCTCTGGCTGCTCTGTGACTTGTGATGTGAATTTCTCCGGCCGTATACTTGTAATAAATATCAGTGTTTGACATCAAAGCTCCAACTCTCCTTGTGTCTCTCTGAGTCCTGACTCTCCATTGCTGCAGAAGTTTCCCTTGCAAATACTACAACCAATAAGAGAATCCTCATCCTACTACACAATCAAGCACAGTATTAAAAAGTGGCTCATTAATAATCAACAGTGTCACTGATGTGTGGGTGTAGGTGTTAGTATGAGTGTGTATTGTGAATGTTTTATTTATTATCATGACTTTCTCTTATCTGTATTCAGTGATGTCATCTATTGTAATTATGTACAATGCTATAACAATGTCGTGGTATTTTCATTATTGCTTTTAGGATGTCTATCACCATCTGGCAAAGGGACTATCAGTGAAAACTATAGCCTTTTGGCTAATTCGAGTACTTTTACATGTTTTTAATATGTTGATTAATGTACACTGTCCCTTGTTTTAAATAAATCAATTCAATTCAATTATTTTAGTTTTATTTTATTCTAAATGGTCACAAAACCCAATTTACCCCCCTCTACAATTTCAAAAGTGATTTATTTATAATTTCGTATCTTGATTTAAACCACGCCGTTGCATACAGGCAATAAAACATATTCAGCTCCCTTCCACGTCGATGCACTGTGTATTTAATTTTGTTGGCCGAATCAATGCTCACACAATGTCCCCATGTTTGCAGAGATTACAACAATTTACAAATCAGGTTAAATGATTGATGAGTCATGTTCTGTGCAGATCATAGCGTTTGTGCACTGATGCATAGATCATACCTCTCAAAGGTCAACATTCAGCTTAGCTCTCTTTTAAAATATAAATGAAGCATGAAACTAAATGTGATCCAGCTTCTGAATATTGACATTGTTTTTAGTTTTTGCATACATTTTATATTTGGAAGCTTTTAAAACCTCTATTCTTTTCATTTGAATCAAGAAAACATTGCAGCACAATCTTATAATGTATGTATGTGTACTTGTATTACATTTTTCATTCATATCTTTAGCTGATTCATGTGTCTGTGAATATGTACTGTCTGCATTTCTGCTTTTCACCAGCAGAGGGTGACAGCAGCTTATCTGCACGCACTGGATCGCACTCTGTATTAAACACAGGGGTAGAGAAAGCCTCAGTGAGACAATCGGCTATTAGTCTTTCTTTAATGCTGTGAGGACATGATTCACGTTCTCAAAACCAAACTGTATTTATTGGATCTCTGCTGTCATGGGGTTTATTTATCTCAGCACTTAATTTCCACCCTTCAGGAATCTTTGGGATGTGTCAGAAGAATAACACTTGAAGCCCAGAGGAGGAAATACTCGTTCTTCTTCTTCTCCTCAGCCACAGATTTATTTGAAACAGGTCATATTATTCATCTGAAGGACACTGAAAGAAAACCACTTGCAGACGTTTCCTAACATTCAACATTTGGACATTTGTGTTATTTATTTCTATTTTCCCAAGACAATCATCTTTGCCTCCCTCTCTCCATCTCTATTCTCATACGGCCTGTGCTGCAGCACCTCTTTTCACCCTCTGTCTGAAACCAGAGGCCAGTCTGTTCTGATTGGTTAGTTAGCCGGCTCTGTTGTGATTGGTCAACCTCTCAGGGATGTCCCGCCCCTTCGCCTATCCCGTACAATGTGTTGGAGCGCTAGCGTTAAGATATAAGATGGACTTTTATTAATCCCCGTGGAGAAATTGTTTCTCTGCATTTGACCCATCCAAGTGTTAGGAGCAGTGTGCTGCCATTTTGAACGGCACCCGGGGAGCAGTGTGGGGAACGGTGCCTTGCTCAGGGACACCTCGGTAGCACTTGGTGTTGCCGGGACTTGAACTGGTGACCTTCCAGTTGCCAAGCCAAGTCCCTATCGACTTCGCCACCACCAACTTCAGACGTCATATTACTTAAGATGTAGCCTAGATTGTACACAAAAGGACACAGTGCGAAGCTATTGTCCAACCAGATGCTAAAGGAGGCTGTTTTAGGAAAACACATGTTATAATTAACCTTGATAAAGTAAAAACACAAACTGTGAGAGGTTTTAACGTTGTAAAACGAAAACAAGGACAACACCATGCTTTCAATCAGGACTAGCCCCGCCTTAAAGGATTCACTGCTTTATCATCTATTTTACTCTAAACTGGACCATCATTTACTGAATGAATTTCATCAAGTGTTCTTCAAGCAGCATGTGTTGTCAAGTTGGTGAGATGTTTCTTCATTTACATGTGATTTGGCAAATGAGTGTTTTTATATTTGCATAGTTTCTGAAGTTCTGATGTTAGTGTTTTGGGCCGTAGTAAGGCGTTTGCTGATGGCCATCGTACTCAGGGGTCAAACACTGATATGATTTAATTTTATATTAATATATTTATTTTTCTCTAAAGTTACTGTGAGACCTTTTCTTCTATTATAATAGGCAAAGCTATACGATACAAATAAAATGATCCAGTCCAGTCCAGTCACAAGGAAACCATTTTGCACAAATAAGTGAATGAAGTGGAGCAAAGTGTTCAGACTGCAGGTTTGTGCAAAGCAGTGCAAAGTAGTCCCTGAGAAAGTGGCGTGACGCACACTTCCGCGAGAGGACTTTGTGATGAATCGATGCATGCGGAGCGCGCGCACCTGCTCGAGAGCAGCAGCAGTGTCCGCGAGGTGAGGACTGAACGCGCTCCTGAGCAGGGATTTAATGTACAATGAGTGAAATGTGTGTCGGATTACGAACTATGAGGAGCTTTTGTCTCTTGCTCCTGATGTCTGCCCTCCACACCTGGTAAGTGGCGTTCAAGGGATGTCGGATAAATCATATTTCGTGCAGAAAACTTTGTCTCTAAATTCAATTGAAGGACTCTGAGTGGGATTTAGTTTTGCGTGCATGCAGTCTGCAGAAATGTGTCTCTTTGCCCCCACAGCTCGCTCACAGTGCAGCATGAGGAGGACTATGAGGATGTCACTGTGAACCAGATGCTGGCTCCCAAATCTCAGGAGAGCGACGCCACGGAAATACTCAACAACCTGCTGAAGGAATATGATAAGAAACTGAGACCGGATATAGGAGGTAAAAGCCTTTTTTGTTTTAGTTGCAGGCTGTAAATCCACCACATGCATGCAGCTGTTTAATAAATGCTATGTCCAAGGTTTGGATGCTTACAATGATTTGTTACCTGTAAACACATGTAATCATTAACCTAATCTGAGTATCACAATATACAATCATGAGTCAACAACTAGAGACAAACTGTTCTGTTGCCTAATTATGGAAGAATTTGAGCTTTACATTAAAAGTAAGAAGACTAGTTGGACTAGTAATCAGTCACAATTAATAGTTACCTGTCAACAAATGTAATTAACCTAATCTGAGTATCATAATATAAAAGTAATGCAACCTGATTACTTTCCGCTGCTCGTGGATTATCTCAATATCAAACGCAATGCAATTAAACACAAGAGAAAATAAATATCAATAAGGTGTTTTTTTACTGAAGTTTATTACAAGATGTGACCTTTGAAAAGAAAAAACCAAGATATGTTGGATCAAAAATGACGTTACTGATAGGAAAACCTGCTTTTCATTCATCTCATTCAGGCAGCAGCCTATACACCATCAATGAAACACATGAGCACTTTACTACAGTTTAAAAAAGCAGAAATAAAATCTGAGCTGACAGAAAATGCTCAGTTTTAGTTTAGTACACACAGTTAAGCTCAGACACTATTTTCTAGGTTCACCTACTGACTTAAAAACAGAACAAATGAACCAAAGAAAGTGAAAACCATAAAGCAAATTCACACTTAAAGTATTATCCTACAGAACAGTACAGTTTACAGAGAAGATATAACATCTGATCCTTTTACAACAAACACTATAATGCTTTTTTTAAGGTGTTACTAACACTGTAATCCTGATAGTTATACCCAATTTTAGAAATGCAACAATAATCTGATGACACCTTTTTTTAATGTAACTGTAAGAGAGAATACAGCTACCTTTTTTGTACCCTGATAACGTATCCTGTTACATGTAATCCATTACTCCCCAAGTCTTGCTATACCTACATATTGACTGCAAATAACACCTGACCTCCTGCAGCAGGTGTCAGAATCTGATCAGTGCGCAGATATGTGTCTGATAAACTGTAGAGATTCTGTAATTCATGTAATTCAAGTAAAACATTATATTTAGAGCTGCAACCATGGACTATTCCAACATGCAAAAATGCCTTTTAATTAATGTTTTCATCCCCTCAAACGTTCAGATGTTCCTGCTTTTCTCTCTTTTATATCGTATTAAAGTCAATAAAAAAATGGATTTAATAATCAGCTACTATTCTACAAGTAATCTTTTATGAAAAATGCTGTTTTCCGCTTCCAAATGTAGATAATATTTCTGCCTTTTTCTTATATCAAAGTGAATATCTTTGGACTTCTAAAGACATCGTTCACAGTTTTCTCTGACATTGTACATCCCAAAGGTGTTCGTTGCAGCCCTAATTCACTCTTAAAAAAAACGTTGGTTGCAGAAAAATATCTCAAACTATTTTAGTTGAGTAATTTGTTTTATACAAACATTTTGTGATTTTCCTTCTATTTCTTTATATCATATAAAAGTGAAGATATGATCTCAGATGTTAATCAATGCTAGACTGCAATTCAAGTCAAACAAATAACCAGAGCTGCAAACTTTGGTCATCAGAATAAATAATCTGCAACTACTCTGAGATTTGATGGAAAGTCGTTTAAGTAATTTTAAATGCAGAGATGTGCAAAAGTAAATCATTTAAAAAGGGCTGCAAGTCTTTGTCACATTAAATCAGGGGTTGTTTGTTTCAAACAAGGTGGAATTCACTCAGTTTTCAGCTTTTTAATTTATATTGACCTCCAGCAACAAAGGTCACTCATCTGCATATCCTCATGAATATAAATCACATTTAGAGGACGAAACTTTAGTGCAGGACAGAGAGATGAGGAGTTTTATAATTTAGAGACTCAGATTAAGTTTGAAAGGAGGCTACTGTACCAATCTGATCAATGTCAGGATCCAGAGTGAGTGTGATGGTAACTTCCTCTAGTTTGTGAGTTGTATGAGTAGAGATGTGGTTCCAAGCCATGGATGTATTAAGAGATGCCTCATAACCTTATTTTCCAACGTTTAAGTATCTTAGTGAATTGAGTAGACAACAGTTTTGAAATTGGTCCATTATTGGGAGCAAATACTGGAAATGTAACCTATCAAGCATTTCAACTCAAGGAGAAATAAGCGTTCTGAAAGGACATTGGTGCGAATTTCAACAAGTCAGAGAGATGAGAGTTGTGTTGTTAGATTTAGTTCGTTTGGATTACAGCAAGTTCTATTGTCTAAGACTTTATATGATGAATGCTGAATATTTAGTCAATTAACAGTTGTTATCCTAACCATAACCCTAGTTTTAAAGATACAATCTCATGTCTACCGTCTCATTCCCAATGTTAGTCTATGTGAAATGGCTTGTTCCAGGCCCCAAGGACGTGTGCCGGGCATTGAAGCAATCCTGTCCTAGTGGCCAAACGGTGGTATTATGCAGCGTCCACACAGTGGCGTGCGTTGAAGCTTGCCGGCGGGCGTGTCTGAAACTCGACCAACAACCAATCACATGAATCTCCCGCCCCGGACACACAAGCAGCGGATTTTTGGCTAGAGCTTGTACTGGCATATGATTTGATTGGCTGACGCTTCTGCCGAGGCTTCAAAAGTTGAACATTGCTCAACTTTTGAAGCGAGCAAAGCGAAGCAACGCTCCCACAATGCAGTTCGGCAAAGTGTGACGTCACCCCATTCAAAGTGAATGGGCAGAAGCGTTGAAGCTTCAACGCACGCCGCCGTGCGGACGGGCCGTAACATCTTCTGTGTCAGTCTGTGACATCATTGGGCCTAATTGACTTACATTGGGAAAGACATTATTATTATTAATAATGTTCGATGAATAACGTGCAATTACGTAACTACCACTACGGTTTTTGCACTACTAAATACTGTTAATATTTACATTAATTATGTGACCATCTATGGTTTTTCTGTAGTTATTGGATTGCTCTTTTTACTGTACTGTTCGTGTACAGTTTTATTATTATTGTGCTGCTGTGTTTATTGTATTTTTTTAACACAAAAATGTCCTTCGGGATGAGTAAAGTCTTATCTTATCTTAAATCTATTGACTGGCTGTGTGGTAGTGTGGTCGTCTTTCAATCAGAAGGTTGTGGGTTTGATCCGAGTCCCTGCAGTCAACATATTGATGTATGCTTGGGCAAGATACTTTACTACTTCACTATAAGATACTTTAATAATAAACCCCAAGTTGCTCCCAATGGCATGCAATGTAATGTGTGTAAATGTTAGTTTCCTTGGCTTGCCTCTATGAATGAGTGAATGATGACTTGTATATGTAAAGTGATTTAAGTGCCTATGTAACTGCAGTCCTAGAAACTGTCTGACTCTTTTCAACAGCGTGTTGTATAAGTGTTAAAAATATGTCTCAAATGATTACGTTACCTCTATCTTTAGAATTGTTGTCGTGATTTGTCAAGCCTGAAATTCACCAATGACAGGTTTGACCAGCTGTCAAACTTAAATGTTAACTGAGTCATCAGTATTTTTGCCTTTTTATGTTAACATCACAAATGCTTCTTGAGTTCTTGTTGAGAAGTTGGTAATTAAAGGGAGTACAGAGCTGCACAATTTGCCAGAAAATAACCTGTTGCAATTATTTTAACGTGATTTTGCAATTGCAATATTAGAGGTGATCATCATTTTTGAAACGCAGCCCTAGACGGTATAATTGATAATACTTGCTGATAAATGAGATAACTAGATCTTAACAACACAGCCCATCCTTTATCTGACTATTGCTCACATTTCCAATGATGTCTTTATCAACAAGACACATCTCGCGAGATTTCATAATGCATATTTCTCGTTGAAATGAAGTGCTGGTGATTTAGTGACTTAATTATTGTTATAGGGCGATCGTGGTAAAGTTAATCATTATTCACTATTTAAGTTCAATCACCCAAATCAGCAGCTTTTTATTTTGGTTTTACAGTAACCAGATACATTTTTGGAGTAAATTGCAAGTATTATTTCCCCAAAAATTGATCAATTTAAAAAAATGCTGTCCCCAATATGCCGAAACACGTACACATCGGGTCCATTTTGAAAAATACAATAAAAGTGACCCCCTGGTCATTAGCATCTGTATTGCTTGAGTCTTTGTGCAACTGTTGCACTTATACATCTGTTACTATGGATACCAAGCCAGTGATGCTGTGTGGCCTTCAGACAGAGAAATAAATTACCGTCAGTGAGGGGTCGATTCCCTCACACAAAGTGAGGTCGAAAAGACCCTCCGATGCCGTTCTCAGAGAGAGAGAGTGACACTTTGACTCCAGTAAATAACCCTAACCTCTCACTATCTTCTCCCGAAACACACCTGGACGTTTTGTACTTCCACTCAACCTCTGGTCACTTTTTTGGTTTTATTTGTTACTTCTTACAACTGATGCTCCAAGCTCCTCTGAAGTATTTCGTAGCACGTGAAAACATAAGGATAGGGGATAACATTCAGGCGGACATTAATAAAGAAAATCCAAAGTTACGTGCTCTCCAAAAATATAAAAATAAATATTCAAAAAGTATTTAACAGTGTTTTTTGACGGAGGAAAACTAATGTTTGTTGTCCACTGCTAACGTTAAATTGACCGGACTTCCATCTGAGGATTGATATGACTGCACGTAGTGCCATGGTCCTCCTTAGCAACAGTCTCATATCCTTAGCAACGGTCTGCTAGCAAAAAATAGTAGACCACAGAATGTTCCTAACTGACCAATCAGCATTGAGTGTTCAACTAAGCTGTGTAATAATATAAAAGTTGTTTTTTAACATCATCTAGTGACATATTAACACTGCCGCCCACAACATATTCATGTTGAACAAGATAAAAAGACATAAGGGACATTTTAGACCACTTTTACCCAAAATAACATGTACCTTTGGGTATACTGATGATATATGTGCTTGTTCCTCG